TGCTCACACAGGGGTGCCCAGACTGGAACCACTGCTCACACAGGGGTGCCCAGACTGGAACCACTGCTCACACAGGGGTGCCCAGACTGGGACCACTGCTCACACAGGGGTGGCCAGGAAAATTGCATCATTTTTGACTGGAAGGTTTTTGAAGATCTTTGTGTTTTGGTCATTTCCTTATGTCCTTATACAGACAGTGACTACCTTATAAACATAGGCATTTCAAAAGTGGGAGAACAAACAGTTGGGGGGGTCTGGGGGGTCCTCATCCAGACAATTTTTAACGAAATAGATACCATTTCCTGCATTCCGGTGTGTTTTTGGGAGTCATCATTGATGAAAAACTGACATGGAAACCTCATATAAATTACTTAAGAACAAAAAAGGCTAAATCTATGTCATTATTGTATAAAGTTAAGGAGTTATTTAATGATAAAGCACTATTTATACTATATAATGCAATAATTGTTCCACATATGATTTATTGTATGGAAGTCTGGGGAAATGCATGAAAAACAATTACTAATCCTATTTTTATTTTACAAAAACGAGCCATAAGAATCATCACAAGAAAGCATTACTATCACCCATCTAATATATTGTTTCATCAGTTAAAATTATTAAAATTTTATGAGTTGGTTGAATATCATATTCTGCAGGCTATGTACAGTATAAAGCTCATCAAAATGTGTTACCTTCAAACATCCAATCTAATTTTGTTAAAAGGGAAACCTGCTATAATTTGAAGGGACTACAAATGTTTATTAAACCAAAAATTCAAACAAATTTGAAGGACAGATGCACTTCAGTAAAACGTATAAGACTATGGAATAATCTGGAAAATGATTATAAAGGCATTGAATCAATTAATTCCTTTAAAAATGATCTAAACAAAATTGTTAAAGAAATATGAAATATGTTTAATTTGTATTTGCATGAGTTACTGTTTGAGGAGTTGAATTTTTGTTTTTAGTTTTATTTGGTTTATCATTGTTTGAAATAAATTTGTTGTAAATAAGAGCAGATATCATAAGATTTTTTTTCTTCTTCTGCTGCCTTTCATTTTATTAGATTTGCATCGTTTTGTTGTATGTAATGTGTTTTGTTTTGATTGTTTGTTTTAATGAAATGAATAAATACGTAAATTTAAATTTTACCAGATTGTTAAATATATTTTTACCTACATAAATTAACGCTTGATTTAATAATTATTTCAGAGACAGATTATTCATTAAACTAGTTCCATCATCCTGTTTTTAAACTCACTGCTTTGGTTCAGATAAGGTTAATTAATGTGACACAATTTACCATATCCAGTGATTTTAGGGGTGATTTTTACTTTTATATTGTTTATTGATTTATATTTATTGTAACAAATTGTGCCAAATAATGATAACCCTCAGATGCATGTTTAAACTAATATTAATAAATTTACCCAATGAACAGGTGCAATACTGATAACCACCAACAGTAAATTTAGAGGAGTGTTTCACTATTTCTGATGTTGTGATAGGTCTACTCATAACTAAAAGGGACATAGCATCATGCAGCCTTCAGAACATAAAATGACACTGTATGGTGACAAAAAAATTTGAAAAAACATTTGACACCATAAGTCAGAACATAGGCAATTTCTTTATAAAAAAAAATCATCACTTCCTTGTCATTACTCTTCTTCAGTTATAGAGCTTGGTGATGTTTCAAACTGTTTAACACTGCCACCAACTGTTCAGGAGGATTATTACACCCCTAAATGTTGTTTCACTGTGGAAGGGGTGTGTACAGCAGGGTGGCCAATGGGGTGGCCAAAGATTTGTCTGTGGTGGCCATGGCCACCCGTGGCTCTGCCCCTGGTTTGCATCGAGTCCCACTGGACTTGGACACCAACTCGCTCACTTCCTCGCACGCAAAACAAATGCAAAGTGCTTTTATGAGAAATGCAGATGAACATGGAAATGGCACGGCAAATTAAAAACAACAGATGACCACAAAAAAAGCCCCCCCCCCCCCCCCAACAAACACACACTTATATGTTGGACACATCAGCGGTGCAAAGTCATGCAAATGCAAGGCAGCAGCCTGATGCGCAGCGGAGCCTCGTTTAAACATCACAGGATGCCTAGAGGTGAGCGTTTCCTGCTGGGAATGAAAGGAGGAGCTGAGTTGTGGGAAATTTCCAACATTTAAAGGGATCCCCGATTAGTTGTAACATTAGACTTTATTTAATAAACATGTATTTTAACTGTAAAATAAAGACTGTAAAAATACTGTAGGATGTTTAGTTTTGTACATTTTAAAATATATATTTTAGCACTGACGGAGCCATTTTATTTACATGCAAAGCATTCTGGTTAAATGATGACGTGGATAGGTCCTCGGTGTGAGCGAGCTATATCCTCCCTGAAGGTTAATCTTGGACAATATCTGATGATCGACTCTTTTAAATGAAACCAGAG